ATAACACACCTCTTTGAAAATGATCGTCATTTTTCTCACCTCTCAACATTGGAAAGGGAGATGGCTTTTCGCACTGAAATGGTTAGTTTTTATGTGGTATTTTATTGCAGTATTTTAGGAATTAAAAAAAAAATAAGCTTTTTGTCATGGAAATTTTCAAAAAGATGTTCCAAGTAGAAAGAGTACATAGCAACCCCACCCCACTCTCCTGCTTCTACAACTGACAGCGCATAACCAGTGTTCTTATATCTACACCTCCACTCATCCATCTCTTTTTAAAGGAAATCCCAGACATTGTGTTATTTCATCTATTAATACTAATACTTCATAAGTATCTCAAAAGGCAAGACTCTTTTTTTGTTCTGAACCCTGGTACCATTGTTACACTTGAAAATAATTAACAACAGTTCCTTAATATCATCCAATAAAAATCTGTATTTAAATGACCTCACTGGCTCTTTTTTTATGCTTTCTTTTTTTTTTAAGCAGTTGATGTGTTTGAAATAGTATCCAAACAATGTCTGTAACACTGCATTTAGTTGATGTATATCTTAAGTCTTTTAATCTTTATTAAATAAATTCCTCTTCCCAGTTTTGTTTTGTTTTCCTGCTATTTATTTATTGAGGAATCCAGGTCATTTGTCCTGTAGAATTACCCACAGTAATTCATATTGTTTATTATGTTTATTTGTCCCAAGTTTCCTGAAAATTGGTGGATTAGAGTTTTGACAGCTGAAGAGTTGACTTTTTTCCTGGCAGGAATACTTCCTAGGTTGTGTTGTGCACTTCCCATGCTGTCATGCCAAGGGGCATACCATGTCTAGTTGTCTCACTTTCTCTGATGCTAGCATTGATCAGTGGCTTTAGGTATTGCGATACTGATCTCTCCATTATAGCCTCGTCATAAGCCTAGGTCAGTTATTTAATTATCATTGGCGAACTGTCATTATCTATTCTATCATTTTTTTCTTGTACTTATTAACTATAATTCTCTTTTTTTTTTTTTTTTTTTAAGAGACTGAGTCTTACTCCGTCCCTCAGGCTGGAGTGCAGTGGCACAGTCACCGCTCACTGCAGCCACGAACTCTTGGGCTCAAGCGATCCTCCTCCTTTGGACTCCCATAGTCTGAGATTATAGGCATGAGCCACCAAGCCTGTCCATTATAATTCTTCTATAAAGAACTTTCCCACAATACCTTTTTGGTTTCCTGACATATACTTCATAGAGGAAAGACAGGAACATGCTTGATACTTTCTTTTTACTTATCAGTTTTCAGAAAAATGAGTACATTCTCCATCATCTTCTACTGGTGACCAATGGAGTACTTTCTTTTGGTATGTCATTATCATGTGATGGATTTTAACATATTTTGTAAACTTCCTGTCTTTAGCTAGTGAAAGCCCTTGTAGTTCACCCTGCTTGCTCTTGATGTGACTTTACTAGTGTTCCATAGCTTTCTTACTTTCAAGTACTGTAAGACATTTTCTTCCCAGATCTAGCAAAGAGCCCCCAGTCCTTTCCATAGCAAATGGTATTTAGAGACGACAGTTTTGGTGCTAGAGTTGCTCATTGCTACTAGATTGGCCATTGTGTCAAGGCCTTTTTAGTGAACAGAATTAGGAAACTAATTTTTTTTTCAAAAGAAAGTAAATCATAAATTTATATTCATATTTTAAGATTGAAATTTAGGATTAGATGTTTTTTACTTATTTAATATTAAACTTACATCTTTTCTCTTAGTCTGAGAATCTTGGTTTCAAATTACTATTTGTTATGAATAAAAGTACCAAAGGTGGTATTAAAAAATATTATTACTGAAAACAGTTTAAGTAATTTTCTTGCAGTTTGTTTTGGCCTAGGATATATTCCACTAGGGATATACAGTAAAATTACTATATCTTAAAGTTACTTGAAATTCTCTCCTAACTTAATAAATAGTTAATTCTTTTATTTTTATTTTGATATTTAGGGATTTTTATTTGATTTATAATTAAATAAAACATTTACATTATTCCCAATTCAAACCTACAAAACAAGGTAGGGTGTAGTTTCCTAGGGCTGCCATAACAAAATGTAGTAAATTAGATGGCTTAAAATGTGAGAAATTTATTCTCTCACAATTCTAGAGGCTACAAGTGGGAAATTAAGGTGTCGACAGGGCCATCTTGTCTCTGGAGGATATGGGGGACAATCCTTTCTTACCTCTTCCTCGATTCTGGTGGTTGCTGGCAATCCTTGGCATTCCTTGGCTTGTTGATCTGTGCCTTCATTGTCACATGGCTTTTCCCCCACCCCACGTGTCTGTCTTTGTGTCCAGATTTCCCTCTTCTTGTAAGCATTTCAGTTGTATTGGATTTAGAGTCTGCCTTAATCCAGTGTGACCTCATCTTAGTTTGATTATATCTGCAAGGATCCTATTTCCAAATAAGGACACATTCACAGGTTCTGGTGGACATGAAATTAGGCGGACACTATTCAACTTAATACAGTAGGAAACACATTTAAAAAAAATAGTGATATGAGAACTAGAACACTGTAGTATTAAGACCATATTTTCCTTTTCAATAAATACCTGGGTAGATATATTACTTTTGTAATGATGAGCCTTAAACCCAGTTTAGAGTTTGGTAGCTAATGGTACTGGCTGCCAGGGCAGCTCTAGGTAAAATTGCATAGAAGGTTGAATTGTATTTTGTATTTATCTGTCTTCCCTTATACCGGCACTCATACTCTCCCCTAGCCTTCTTGTTCTTTCTTATTTTTCACCTCATGTATTATTCCACCCTTGCTATCTTTCCACAGTAGCATGTCAAGCTAAAACATTATCTCTTTTCCTCAAAATAGGGCCTCCCCCCATATACCCTCTCCCACGGGGTTCTTACCTTGTGCTCACTTGATACAAACGAAAATGATCTATAAAGTTAGTTGGTATCTGAATGAAATTTATATGTAATAATACATCATCAGGTAGCCTTCGCAGCGCATTTGCAATTTTGTATGTAAATCTGGAGGAAAAAATGAATGATAGTGTCATTTTGGGGATTCAAATAAGCAATTGGGGGGGAACACTTTTGACTTGGGAAGATTTCTTGGTTTATGGTAAATTTTAGTTCCATAATAAACCACTCAACCTGTTCATAAGATAGCTTTTTGTCACACTTGTGTTAGTATGGGTTATAGGATTTTCTTAGGTGAAGTGTGCTGAGTCATGTTATTTTTAAATGTTGAAGCTATTTTGCTTTCAATTACTTCAATTAAGATAAGATTATATGAAAATAATGTAGTTTTTTCATCTTTAGAATTTATCAGTGATCAGAAACCTGTGAAATTAATTGTAGCTATTGTTTTTTAAAAATAGTGTATTTTAAATTTTTTTTTAAGCTAAGAAGAGGCAAAATAATTACGTACCTTTTATTATAACTAGAGCATATCCTTATTTCAGGGACTATACTATTCCTACTTCAAGACTATTGTGGAAGCACCCTCCTTTTTTAATGGAGTCTGGATGATTATGAATGATAAACTGACTGAATATCCCCTTGTTATTAATACATTAAAAAGGTTCAATCTTTACCCTGAGGTAAGTTACTTTTTCTAGTTGTGATTTTCCACTTTTTAACTGTTTTTTTGTATAAATGCTGATTCTAAATCTAAGATATA